ACATCATTATAAGGCACATTGATAAATCATTCACGCTGCTTATAACATTTACATCTTAAGACAACACATCATAATAATAATCAAGACATTTCAATTCAACATCATACCACCCTATCAATCATAATACAAGGCATACTCCAATACAATATCATGACTTAATCCCACATAACCATAATTTGGAGTAAAGAATAGAGATAATGAGACTTACTAAGTCTCCTTCATAGTTCATCATCAAAGCCTTACCATAAACCCTCAATTCAACCCAATTTGGGTATACATACTCATAAATCAATAATCAACATGATAAAAGACTAGAAGAATCACTACATCACAATTCAATATTAGATCATAGCTTAAGACAAGATACTTAGGTCAATCACTTCCTAACCTCGATTATCTTCTCAATAACTAGCATGAAAGACTGCAATTCACTCTAATTTATTCATGATTAATATAAAAACATCATCTAATAGTAATGCAATCAATAACCAAGTTAGTTGAACTAAATACAACCTAATTTATATCAAAATCAAACCTGGGGTTAAGGGTTGAGGATCATCTTCTACAAACTAGACCAAACCATCAAGATAATCAATATTAGGTTAGTATACATGTTAATAAATTCATATTATCCAATATAAAGCATAAACAACCCAATTCATAACATAATTTTAGAGATTGAGAAAGACCCACATGGAAATTCAACTTTTGAAAATACTTTGAAGGAACCCTTTTGAGGAAAGAGGCCTGAAAGGTGAATTAGATCTCATACTTAAATGTTTTGATTGATATTTGTTGGTGAAATCGTCACTTTTTACAGCCCCCAAATCCCTCTCCTGGCTAGTCTTCAATGGTGTCTTACAATAGAGAGATAAAGAAGAGAGAGAAGTGAGTTTTGTTTTGAGAGTTGTAATTAGACTAATGGGGTTGGGGTCTTTATATGGGGTTTAATTAAGTTTATAAATATTCGCTTAATCCCTAACTAATAACAAACCCATTACTTAATTAGTTAAGACCAACTTAAAAACGTGCAGGAAAATGGACCCTTACAGACGAGACCCTGATCGACGGTCCGTCAGTGAGTCGATGGTCACTATGCCCTTCCGTGCTTCACATCCATCGTTATAATCAGAGACTTGTGCAGGTGAGGGATCCAACAATTTGTATATGTGCTTATATATGGTTGGCAAAGATACCGCGTGGATCCACACACAGATCGTCGACTGCATCTCGTGGCTACAAACAGCCCAGGCAGTGTTGACTCCAACGTGCAGTGGTCTTCCTCAACGGACCTTGGTAGGTATTTGGGGAGTGGTACCCAGACGTTTCAACTATATATCAACTTAAAGACATGTTATAGACCCTTCCACCAATTTTCACCATTTTTCGACTCCGAAAAGCTAGTCAAATAGGCTAAGGCCTGCTAGTACCTACTTGAACTAGTTTCTGGACGTCATGGACGTTCTAGGATGTTTTGGTTTCTAGACTTCATAAATGACTTATAAACATCAAAATAGACCTTTAAATAGTGCGTAGACCTTAGGAAACTTATGTTAGGCTTTAATACACATCTTGAATTTATGAAGTTTTCAATGAACTAGTTTTTGGACGTCATGGACGTTCTGGGATGTTTTGGTTTCTAGACTTCATAAATGACTTATAAACATTAAAATAGACCTTAAAATAGTGCGTAGACCTTAGGAAATTTATTTTAGGCTTTAATACACGTCTTGAATTTATGAAGTGTTACATTGGAGGTGGACGAATAGCAGAAAGGGTCTCACTAATTCTCTAAAAAGATTCTTGCAAGAAGAGGTTAAGGCTCAAGGGGTTTTCAAACAAGGAACACACACTCACCCAAAAAGAGGTATATATCAAATTGTTTCACACTCTACAATGTTGCGTAAGATAATATCATGAGATCACATCACTTAGTCAACCAGATCAAACGAGCAAATTCTAGGTGTCATTATGCATGGCTCATAGTAAGCTCATCACAAAAGGAATTTACACTAATTTAAAACAAGACTCCACACTTTTTCAAGTGTGAAAGGTTTATCACAAGAGACTCAAGGTTCAGGATCCTCCGATCTTGAGTTTCATCCTAGTGGCTAGGATCCTAGTAGTGAAAGGAGTTGAATAATGGTGTATCCTCATAGCATTCGAGGATATATCAACCATTTCTTTTATGTTCTTTCATTTTATATTTGGATTATTATATGGGACGCGTTCCAAAGATGTTCATGTTTTAGATGGTGTGAGACAAGTGTAATTAATAAACTTCCTCTTTGATTTTATAGAAGACTTTGATTGTATGAAAAATATTTTTAAAATTTCCGCATCATTTCTATTGCTTTATGTTACGATATGCTAAATGACTTGAATGAGGTCCTTCAAGGTCTTGTATGTCAGGTTACATCTAGGGTGTACCCCAGGATCGTGGTAACTTCTCTTCCCGTTATCACTTTTATGCCTAAATTTTTTAAAAATAAATATTAAATAAATAAGACTAATATAATATGAAACATTGCTTACGTGAGATATTAAATCATTTTAAGGTAAACCACATAAATCTCATTAGTTTAGGTCTTAATTATTATGATTCTCAATAGTTTCAATTATTACCTCCTCTACCATTTTTTATACTTAGGATAGATGAGTCTGAATCTGAGATACATGTATCTGCGGAATTTTAAAATTGAAGTACAAAATTTATTTATTTTATTGATTGATTGTAATTGATTTCCTTAATTAGAGGAGTAATTGAGGACTTTCAAAATATATAGATAGTTAATTTCATTTATTATTCTTTGAAATAGTATAGTCATTAATATTATTAATGTATGATAAAAACATGTATATATTGGTAATATAATTTGATTAATTTCAAATTATTACTCTTCAAAAAAAATTCATTAATTTGGTGTATCTATCATCACGAGTGTCGTACAAGTACATTCATATGTGTCAAATTATCTAGTATTAATTTTCCGTATTTGTTATACATATCTAGTATTAATTTTATGTGTGTGTGTGTATGTCTATCTATAGATATATAATATTAATTTCATGTATCTCTTATATGTATCTAGTATTAATTTGATGTATCAAGTATCAATTGCCTATGTTATATATCCAAAAACATGTATCTCAAATACATAGTAAGCATCTACATCTAATCTAATTACGTGTATCTAAATTTCATGTGTTATATCAAAAAAATATATATCTCGGTTACACAATAAAAATATACATTTAATTATGTGTATCGAAATGTGAAATGTAGGTGAAATACATGAATTTAGGAACAAATCATGACAGTAGAGTATCTGTCGTATCACTATTATCATTGTGTAGTTAAAAACCATGCATCCAAAATTTAATGGTGTATACACATACATATTCAAATACCCCATCATTAAAAATATAACACAAATCCTAATTAAGATTACTACTTATTAGATAAACATGTTTCAAGGGTTATATTAAAGTAATATTAGTACTACCGCACTCATGTCACAATAACCAAAGAAAGTCTTAGAAAACACTAGCAAAGGACTCTCTACAATACTCCTTTGTAACATTTTGTATTGTTTCATAACATAAGGGAACTAAGATTCATATCTTCTGGATACAAATCAATCAAGACCCACTCTGAATTGAAAGTCAATACCCACTCTGAATTGAAAGTTTTATCTATAGCAATTACTTTAATTTGATCTCGTTATAGATGAAAAACAATAAAAACCCACTATAAATTGAAAGTTTTTTCTGTAGCAGCTTCTTTCATTTAATTTCGTTACAAATGAAAAACAATCAAGACCCACTTTTAAATTGAAAGCTTTCTCTGTAGCAATTACTTTGATTTGATCTCGTTATAAATGAAAAATACAAAATGATATTTGGATGCATGAGAATTTTTTGGCCATGATATTGATATCTTGAGAAGAAGAGAGTAGATTAGCTATTGTTGGATTGAAACTGTATGGTGAAATTCTTGAATTAGAAAGGATGAGATATAATTGAATGATAAATATGGAAAGGGAGAACTAACAGTTAGTGGTTGATTTTGAGTGAAAGAATTAATTATATAGCTAATCAATCAATCCTAGTTTTAAGAGACGTCTAATTATATCTTCAAATAATATATTAATATATGATATAAAATACTAAAAGTGTTAATATATGTAATTGTTTGAAAGTAAAAATAATATTAGTATATATACTAGTGATGTAAGTTTAACTAGGTAGTTTCCATTTCTGTATTGATTAAAAATACATTTGCTACATCTATATGGAAGTGGAAGAAAACAAGGTAGTTTCTATTTCTATATTGATTAAAAATACATTTGGTACATCTATATGGAAGTGGAAGAAAACAATGCAAAATAGTAACTTTTTCTTAAGATTAAAAAAAAAATGAAAAACAATACTTGTACTAAGTTTCATCATATAAACAACCTGATTACCCTCAAAAGGCACGATTAAGTCTTTGTTAATATTGCCCTTTTCAAACATCACTTTTAGAATTACAATAAATAAATTGTTATTGTTGTAACAATTTTAGCATATTTGTTTCAACTAAATACGACGAGCCATTAGTTTTCTAAAATTTTAATAATTCACATATTAAATTAATCGCTTTGTCTACATTTGTAAATGATCTTTTTTATCTTCATTATTTTCGAGTTAAATTTAATCATATTAAATATTTATTCGTCGATTTTCATAAATATAAATTTACGTATATAATAGCACCATCATATATGATCTTGTTTTTACAATAAATTTGATTATCTTACTTTTAATATATCAACTATTGTGATCAAATAACATTTTCAGGGTTAACCTTTTCTTTTCGTAAATTTTTCAGACTCCATGTGATTTTTAAAAAAAAAAAAACTTTAAGAGAATATATTTTGTACCCAAACGATTCAACTTTTCTAATTCAAAAGTAATGAAAACGTGATAATTTCATAGTAATAAAGAAGAATTATTAGTTGATTCTCTCTACAAGTATTAAGTAAGATGACTTTTGAACATAGATCAAGGATAGTACATCTTAACAATAAAAGGTGCAATTACAATCGTCACCGAAACAAGTTCCTCCAAGAAATGTTCCTGTAATACCAGGAGGATCAGGCTTACCTTGGTACTTGTCAAAACATTGGGTATTGCATTTTTCTGGATCACAAGGTTTGACAGCTCCTGGAAGTGGATAATTACATTCTTTTGAAGCTTCAAGATGGACTCCTCTTGTGTTGGTGCCTTAATTTGTTATACATACAAAAAATAGAAAAATAAAATATTATGAGAAGCAATATTGAGCAATTATTCAAAGAATGTAAAATTAGTATGTGTTCTTTATATGCATATACAACTTTATTATAAGATTAAGGTATGCCAAGTATAAGATTCCCATAAAGGAAAGAAACTAAATAAATAAAAAATACCACTTACAGAGAACAATGAGAAGGACAAATAAATAGATAGCTAGGCTTGAAAGGTTCTTCATGATTCCTAATCAAATTGAACCTGTGAATGTTTTGATGGTAGGAGTAAAGTGTTGTGAACTATATATAGGACCAAATGTATTATGCTATGACAAAAGAATTGATTTGAAAGTAAATAAAATTGTTTTAGTGTCAAAGATAATAAATGAAAAAGAAGTAAGTTACAAAAATCATAAATTTTTTTTACCTAGACCATTTATGTAATTCTACGGTAGAGACACTATATTTTAAATAACTAAAAATAAATTATTATTATTATTATTATTAAATAATCTTAAAATTTGAAAAATTCAATAATCACTAATAACTAATTAAGTAAATAAATCTACACACATATCAATACTTACATTTAGATCCATTTCATTCCGTGGTAACTAAATTTAATTTTGAATAATCAATAAATTAGACCTAATTATTTAATTCCACTATAGTTACACATTATGTTAAATTAAAAAAAAGATATTTTAATGACATAATTTTAAATTTTAAATAATCAATAATCACTAATCACTAATTAATTATATCTATATTTGTATTTATCTATATCTATATTACACCAAAAGCATGAACTTCTAACTTGAATGTTAAATTTCTATAATATTCCTAACGTAGTTTTTGACTTTTTTGATGAGTTGTGACTTTTTCGATAAATTATGACTTTTTTAAAGAGTTGTGATTTTTCGCTAAGTTGTGATTTTTTTAACAAGTTGTAACTTCTCCAAAGGGTTGTGACTTCTTAAAAAGGTCACTCTTTCGATCAGTTGTGACTTTTCCGATAAGTTGTTATATTTTCAAAGGGTTGTGACTTTTCAGTGAGTTATGACTTTTTCAAAGAGTTGTGACTTTTTCAATTTGTTATGATTTTTCGAAAGGGTTGTGGACTTTTCGGTAAAGTCGTGATTTTTTTAAGATAAGACACAAAATAACACTTGTTCATACTACCCTTTGTTGACTATAAATAATGGGGCTTTTCTCATTTTTCAGCCACAATTTTTTTAATCTCCTACTCTTTTTCTTGTATTTGTTAGAAATACATGTATTGCACATTTATCATTTAGTTATAACATTATAAATTCTCTTAATTATTTCTAATTATTACAAATTTTATTCACACTATTTAAAATTTTTTAGTAAGAAAATTATGAACTCTAGTTAGTACATTAATTATTTCTATCTTTCATCTTTTTTTGTATTAGCTTTTTATCAATAATTTTTCATGTTATTACACTGACCTCATATATGTCATAACATGAGATTGTTGTTTTTCCAAATTGAAAAACTTTTACATGTATATAAACTACATCTTTGTTGGGTGTAAGGTAAACATGTGATTTATATGATTTCACAAACATAAAATATTCTTTAATTTTTATTTTTATTTTTTCGGAAAAAAAATATAATAAAACCTTTATCAGTTAACTATGACAATCATATAACTATCTCTGATTTATGTATACAGTGAATTGAGAAGTTAAATATGAGAACAAACAACAATAACGTCATATATTATGTTATGACTTATAAAATAAAAATTAATATACAAAGATTAGTTCTAAAAAATAAAATGCAGTCGTTCTCTTTACATGTTCATATAATATATAAATAGTTGCACGTATAATACACGTGCAAAACATATATTGTTAGATGACAAGAAAAATACACAACGAATCGTCTATAAGATAATATTATTAAGATTTTACTCATTGCACGATTGAACCTCATCAAATTCAAATATACGATCGGGCAAAGCCGATTCTAATCAATTTGGATAACCAGTCCAATATTATTATAGCTATACTTATTCTCTGCAATATCCCAAAAGTTGTCTACTCCTCATCCTCATCGACTTAGTCTTCTACAGTAAGTGTTTCACACCCTATCTCCCGATGAATCTTGATAGCTTTGTCTAGTTCTAGTTAATAGAAGTGTTTCGCACCCTCTCTCCTGATGAATGTTGATAGCTTTGTCTAGTAATAGGTACTATCTTCTCCTTTTCCTCTTTTTTCTTAGGGAATATTCTAAAAGTAGCAGCTAGGCCTATCTAGACTTTCGTCAGAGCTTTCATCTTTCCTCGCCCTGTCTCCAGTTCTTCTGTATTTCGTAATAGCTTTCATCAATCTTATATGATATGCTATGAAAAAATAATTAATCAGAATGTAAATAAAATGGTTTAGTTTCCAAGATAATAATTATAAAAGAAGTAAGTTACAAACATCATAAATTTTTTTTAATTAAGGGTATCTAGATAGATTTCACTTATATTTACTTTCATATGAAAATAAAATGTTTAAGTCATCTTTGACCCCTTAAAGTTATCTGTATAATTTATTTAGACGATCTCAATTTTTTTTACAAAGAAGAGACATAAAAACGTCCATTTAATCAAACAACGAAATGGTGTTCTCCATCTTTTTTTCTGGAAAAAGGAAGACGGAAGTCGACGATGATAACAAGTTTTTAAAAAAAATACAAAAAAGAAGATAACTTGTGTAGGGGGGTGGGGGTGAAGAAACATTACCCCTAGAACATGTCACGACCCAAAACCGGGCCGCGACTGGCACCCACACTTACCATCCTATTTGAGCGAACCAACCAATCTAAACCTTAACATTTCAATGTAATATCAACATAAAGTAATGCGGAAGACTTAAACTCATTAATAAAAAACAATTCAATAACTATTATTTCCCAAAATCTGGAAGTCATCACCACAAGAACATCTACTTCAAATTACTAAATGTAAGAGTTTCTAAGAAGCTAAAAATACATAAAAGCTAGTCCATGCCGGAACTTCAAGGCATCAAGACATGAAGAGGAAGATCCAGTCCAAGCTAGAAGCATTAGCTCACCCTGATATCTAGAGTAATGAAGACTGGCTAGAGTTACTGTTGAGTCGAAGATGACGGCACGTTTCCTGCACTCCACAAATAAACAAGAAGAAAACATAAAAGTAGGGGTCAGAACAAAAAACGGGTACTCCACAAATAAACAAGAAGAAAACATAAAAGTAGGGGTCAGAACAAAAAACGGGTACTGAGTATATATCATCGGCCAACTCAAAACAGGAATAAATATATACCAAGTAATATCATAAAATCAACTATGATACTCCACATGTAGCAACAACAAGTACTATATCATTAACAATTACCGTCAAGTTCACACATGAGGACTCAAGCCTCAATACCATACTCATTTGGGAATTATGTTCATTAGATTGAGTATATTAACATCTTACAAGATTCATTATCTTTATTTCTCTTGTGTCGGTACGTGACACTCCGCTCCCTCATATTCATTAATCCTTTTGTGTCGGTACATGACACTCCGATCCCCTACTACTATGTGTCAAACGTGACACTCCGATCCCCTAAATCTACGTGTCGGTTCATGACACCCGATCCCCTAAATCTACGTGTCAGTTTGTGACACTCGATCCCCTAAATCTACGTGTCGGTTCGTGACACCCGATCCCCTAACTCTACGTGTCGGTTCGTGACACCCGATCCCCTAAATCTACGTGTCGGTTCGTGACACCCGATCCCCTAAATCTACGTGTCGGTTCGTGAAACCCGATCCCCTAATCTCCTTCTATCAATTCATCAAGCCTTCT